TTTGTTGGGCAACGGGAAGCCAATGGAGGGATTGGCAGAGAGGGGTGGAGGACACTGAGTGGAGGCCAGTGGAGGGATTGGCAGAGGGATGGAGGACACTGAATGCAAGCCAGTGGAGGAATTAGCAGAGAGGGGTGGAGGACACTGAGTGGAGGCCAGTGGAGGGATTGGCAGAGAGGGGTGGAGGACACTGAGTGGAGGCCAGTGGAGGGATTGGCAGAGAGGGGTGGAAGACACTGAGTGGAAGCCAGTGGAGGGATTGGCAGAGAGGAGTGGAGGACAATGAGTGGAGGCCAGTGGAGGGATTGGCAGAGAGGGGTGGAGGACACTGAGTGGAGGCCAGTGGAGGGATTGGCAGAGGGATGGAGGACACTGAGTGGAGGCCAGTGGAGGGATTGGCAGAGAGGGGTTGAGGACAATGAGTGGAGGCCAGTGGAGTGATTGGCAGAGAGGGATAGAGGACACTGAATGGAGGCCAGTGGAGGGATTGGCAGAGAGGGATGGCAGATATGGAACAGTTGGTAAGGTGGATGAGTATGGCAGCAGCATTAATGATAGACTGAAGAGGGAATAGCCTGCGATTAGGTCACCCAATGAGGAGGGAGTTACAGTAGTCAAGGCAAGAGATAACCAGGGAGTGAATAAGTTGCTTAGTTTTTTCAGTGGATTAAAAACAGGTGTATTAACAATGAATAAAATAATACTAGTGTCCATTAACAATGAATAAGAATAGCATAGAAGATAACTAGAGATGAGCGAATCGAAGTAGGCGAAGTGGAATTCGTTTCGAATATTGGAAAATTTTCGATTCGCGCTGAATCCGAAAAATAGCCTACTTCGGACGCGCGAATCGAAATTTTTCCTAAAATGGCGGCGGACATGTGCGGCGACGGAGCGGGGATGTCTGGGAAGGCGCGCAGACAAGGCGCGCTGACCCATAATGCATTCCTTAATGACATGTGATCGCATTAGCCAATCAGCAGCCAGCCAGCCAGCACTGTGTAATGGTCGAGCTATAAAATGGCGGCCATTTTAGAATTCTTCATTTGCCTCCAGTCATTCAAGAGAGGCAGACCGCTCTGTATTAGGGACAGAGTTAGGGCCACAGAAACGTTACTTAGGGACAGAGAAACATTACTCAGGGACACAGAATTGTTAGTGAGGGCCACAGAATCGTTACTTAGGGCCACAGAAACGCTAGTTAGGGCCACAGAATTGTTACTCAGGGACAGACAGAATTGTTACTGAGGGCCACAGAATTGTTACTTAGGGCCACAGAAACGTTACTCAGGGCCACAGAATTGTTACTGAGGGCCACAGAACTGTTACTTAGGGCCACAGAAACGTTAGTTAGGGCCACAGAATTGTTACTCAGGGACAGACACAGAATTGTTACTGAGGGCCACAGAATTGTTACTTAGGGCCACAGAAACGTTACTCAGGGACACACAGAATTGTTACTGAGGGCCACAGAACTGTTACTTAGGGCCACAGAAACGTTAGTTAGGGCCACAGAATTGTTACTCAGGGACAGACACAGAATTGTTACTGAGGGACACAGAATTGTTACTGAGGGCCACAGAACTGTTACTTAGGGCCACAGAATTGTTACTCAGGGACACAGAATTGTTACTGAGGGCCACAGAAACCGTTACTTAGGCCACAGAATTGTTACTCAGGGACAGAGACACAGAATTGTTACTGAGGGCCACAGAACCGTTACTGAGGGCCACAGAACCGTTACTTAGGGCACAGAATTGTTACTCAGGGACAGACACAGAATTGTTACTGAGGGCCACAGAATTGTTACTTAGGGCCACAGAAACGTTACTCAGGGACACAGAATTGTTACTGAGGGACACAGAATTGTTACTGAGGGCCACAGAACTGTTACTTAGGGCCACAGAACTGTTACTTAGGGCCACAGAAACGTTACTCAGGGACACAGAATTGTTACTGAGGACCACAGAACCGTTACTTAGGGCCACAGAATTGTTACTCAGGGACAGACACAGAATTGTTACTGAGGGCCACAGAATTGTTACTTGGGGCCACAGAAACGTTACTCAGGGACACAGAATTGTTACTGAGGGCCACAGAACCGTTACTTAGGGCCACAGAATTGTTACTCAGGGACAGACACAGAATTGTTACTGAGGGACACAGAATTGTTACTGAGGGCCACAGAACCGTTACTTAGGGCCACAGAATTGTTACTCAGGGACAGACACAGAATTGTTACTCAGGGACACAGAATTGTTACTGAGGGCCACAGAACCGTTACTTAGGGCCACATAAACGTTACTCAGGGACACAGAATTGTTACTGAGGGCCACAGAACCATTACTTAGGGCCACAGAATTGTTACTCAGGGACAGACACAGAATTGTTACTCAGGGACACAGAATTGTTACTGAGGGCCACAGAACCGTACTTTAGGCCACAGAAACGTTACTCAGGGACAGACACAGAATTCTTACTCAGGGACAGACACAGAATTCTTACTCAGGGACACAGAATTGTTACTGAGGGACACAGAATTGTTACTGAGGGACACAGAATTGTTACTCAGGGAAGGAGAACAACAAAAGAGAAGCGCACCAACCTTGCGCATTACCTCAGTAACCAAAAATTTATTGAATAAAAGAATGGTACTCACAAACAGCGAATAAAAACAAGCATGTAAGTCCTCAAGGGGACTTTAGAGGCAAGATGCCAATGCGAAGAGCTGCTCTGAGGAAGAAGGCACGTCCTTCGAAACGCGTCAGCTGTACTGAGTGGCTTCCTCCATGACGGGATTCGCATTGGCATCTTGCCTCTAAAGTCCCCTTGAGGACTTACATGCTTGTTTTTATTCGCTGTTTGTGAGTACCATTCTTTTATTCAATAAATTTTTGGTTACTGAGGTAATGCGCAAGGTTGGTGCGCTTCTCTTTTGTTGTTCTCCTTCACAGTTTAGTTTGGGGCTTCCCAGCCTTGATGTGGAGCTGCACGACCTTGTCTATTCCGGTGGTCCCTTCCTTTTTGGAGTTTGATTCCATCTACTTACCACCGCCTGGGTCCCGGAGCGCAGGAGATATTGCATTTGGTTCACTGTCTTTGTTACTCAGGGACACAGAATTGTTACTGAGGGACACAGAATTTTTACTGAGGGACACAGAATTGTTACTGAGGGACACAGAATTGTTACTCAGGGACAGACACAGAATTGTTACTCAGGGACAGACAGAATTGTTACTGAGGGCCACAGAAATGTTACTTAGGGCCACAGAAACGTTACTCAGGGACACAGAATTGTTACTCAGGGACAGACACAGAATTGTTACTCAGGGACAGACACAGAATTGTTACTGAGGGACACAGAATTGTTACTGAGGGCCACAGAATTGTTACTGAGGGCCACAGAACTGTTACTTAGGGCCACAGAACTGTTACTTAGGGCCACAGAACTGTTACTCAGGGACACAGAATTGTTACTGAGGGCCACAGAACCGTTACTTAGGGCCACAGAATTGTTACTCAGGGACAGACACAGAATTGTTACTGAGGGCCACAGAATTGTTACTTAGGGCCACAGAAACGTTACTCAGGGACACAGAATTGTTACTGAGGGCCACAGAACCGTTACTTAGGGCCACAGAATTGTTACTCAGGGACAGACACAGAATTGTTACTGAGGCCACAGAATTGTTACTTAGGGCCACAGAAACGTTACTCAGGGACACAGAATTGTTACTGAGGGCCACAGAACCGTTACTTAGGGCCACAGAATTGTTACTCAGGGACAGACACAGAATTGTTACTGAGGGACACAGAATTGTTACTGAGGGCCACAGAACCGTTACTTAGGGCCACAGAATTGTTACTCAGGGACAGACACAGAATTGTTACTCAGGGACACAGAATTGTTACTGAGGGCCACAGAACCGTTACTTAGGGCCACAGAACCGTTACTCAGGGACAAAGAATTGTTACTGAGGGCCACAGAACCGTTACTTAGGGCCACAGAATTGTTACTCAGGGACAGACACAGAATTGTTACTCAGGGACACAGAATTGTTACTGAGGGCCACAGAACCGTTACTTAGGGCCACAGAAACGTTACTCAGGGGACAGACACAGAATTCTTACTCAGGGACAGACACGGAATTGTTACTCAGGGACACAGAATTGTTACTGAGGGACACAGAATTGTTACTGAGGGACACAGAATTTTTACTGAGGGACACAGAATTGTTACTGAGGGATACAGAATTGTTACTCAGGGAGAGAGACACAGAATTGTTACTCAGGGAAAGACAGAATTTTTACTGAGGGCCACAGAAATGTTACTTAGGGCCACAGAAACGTTACTCAGGGACACAGAATTGTTACTCAGGGACAGAAACACAGAATTGTTACTCAGGGACACAGAATTGTTACTGAGGGACACAGAATTGTTACTGAGGGACACAGAATTGTTACTGAGGGCCACAGAACTGTTACTTAGGGCCACAGAACTGTTACTAGGGCCACAGAAACGTTACTCAGGGACACAAAATTGTTACTCAGGGACACAGAATCGTTTAATTAAGAGTATGTCAGACAACATGCAGAGGAGTGGCAGAGGAGGCAATGTTTTAGGAGCGAGCAGACGTGGCAGCAGAGGAAGGGGTCGAGGCAGCACTATTCGCAGCCAGAGGCTAGTGCTCCCGGTGTCATCCAGTACAGTGAGGAAGAGCTAACAGAGGGCGGTCAGGAACGGGGGGAGACATCCGCCTCTTCAGCAGCCAGGCGAAGAAGTAGTGGCGAGGAGAGTGGCTCGGTAGCCGGTCTAGAGACAGGTCTGTCTCCTGACCCACACGCAGCCGAGGGGGCTAGTAGTGAGGCGGAGACCCTAATTGATGATGATGAGGTTGATCGCACTTGGCAGCCTCGTCGTCATCAGGCTATTGCTTCCGCATCATCAGGAGAAGGAGGGTGGCAGCTTGGCAGCGAGCAAAACAGTCGGTGGGTTGTCTCCATCGCCACACTCTGCCCTGTGCCACTTTCAGGTCTCCTCACACACTGCTGGTGTGTGAAATTTTTTGACATAGGGTGCTGGCAGATTACGGGCCTCCATAGCTGCTGCCAGGCCCCTAATCTGCCATGGGCCCCTGTACCGCCTCCTCATGCTGCTGCCAGGTCCACAGTCTCTCATGCCATGTGCCACTTTCAGGTCTCCTCACACTGCTGGTGTGTTGAATTTTTTTGACATAGGGTGCTGGCAGATTACGGGCCTCCCATAGCTGCTGCCAGGACCCTAATCTCTGCCATGGGCCCCTATACCGCCTCCTCATGCTGCTGCCAAGTCCAGAGTCTGTCATGGGTCCCTGTACGGCCTCCCATTGCTGCTGTCTCCATCGCCAACTCTGCCATGTGCCACTTTCAGGTCTCCTCACACACTGCTGGTGTGTTGAATTTTTTGACATAGGGTGCTGGCAGATTACGGGCCTCCCATAGCTGCTGCCAGGCCCCTAATCTGCCATGGGCCCCTATACCGCGCCTCCTCATGCTGCTGCCAGGTCCAGGCGAACGTAGTCACACAGGGGAGGAACTTCTCAGTGTAATGAACAGAGAAATCGACAGATGGCTGTCTCCGCGCAAACTGAAAATCGGAACCATGTTGACCGACAACGGAAAGAACATGGTGTCTGCTCTGCGTCAAGGAAAGGTTGTGCATGCGCCATGCATGGCTCACGTGTTCAATCTGGTTGTCAAGCGGTTCCTAAAATCCACCATCCCACTGCAAGACATCCTTAAAATGTCACGTAAACTTTGCATGCATTTCAGCCATTTCCTACACCGCAAAGCACACCCTCCTTGAGCTGCAGTGCGGCAGAACGGAATTCCACAGCATCGCCTGATCTGCGACGTTGCAACAAGGTGGAATTCAACCCTACACATGTCTAGCCGCCTTTACGAACAGCGAAAAGGCCATCACCGATTTCCTGATGTTACAAGCGGATAAAGTACTCCCCTGTGAGGAACTTCGATGTCAGCCATTGGGCAGCTCATGCGTTGACACCTGCCGCTTGCTCAGCCCCTTTGATTTAGAGGTACAACGCTATCCGAGAGTCGGCAGGGACTATGGGATGAAACGACGATCATATCCTCTGTTGCACGTCCTGAACAAATGCTGTTACCAATGGTTTTGGTCAGGGTGCAAGGTAGACGTGGCGCACAGATCTCAAATCGCACATGACCCCTGTTGGGGGCAGGACACAGGAAAGAAGAGGAGGAGGTAGAGGAGGACATTGGGTAGCTCAGGAATTATTGAGTGAAATGGGTGGTGGGTTTATTTCCAACACAGCGGACAGGAGTGGAGGAGCAGGAGCACTCTGGTAGAGGAGGAGGAGGAGAACCTAGGAGACATAGACCCAGAATGCACCGTGGCAGTATGCTGTGGAGATGGAGGCAGGAGAGTCCCTCGCATAACTCCTTGGCAACGCCTAAATGGCCCAATAGCAATGCTCGCTTGTGCTTGCGTAGGAAACGAACAGCCCATAATAACCATCAGACAGAGGGATTACTTTTGGCTGTCCACCTTGCTCGTTGGACCCGCTCGCTACCAAAAAGTCCATAAAATGGTGGCCTTTTTCACACCTCTGAGAGGGAGGCCAAAATAACGTACTATAAAAACCACCTATGTATCAGTTTGGTCATCCCTGCCTTCTGTGCGCCATACGTCCATCCTCAGACACTGGTGGCCCTGTGCGCTCCGCGTTCCGCTGGTATGGCAGCAGGGGAGGGGTGGGGTGGTAGGAGCAGTTGGCACTCCACCAGCACGGCCTGCCTCAGTCCTGCATCGATGAATAGTAGGCTTTCTTCACCCAGCGCAGTGAGGAGAAACTACTAACCAGCCACAGCAGCAGCAGCAACAGGAGGACCTGGATGCAGGAGCTCAAACAACATAGGCTTGGGCCCTACTTTGGACAGCACCCTGCCAACCGAGGTAGACAATCCCCTTGACTACTGGGCAACGAAACTTGACCTTTGGCCCCAAAGCTGAATTTGCCCTTGAAAGGCTGTCAATGCCCGAGTCCATTAGCGTGGCAATCGGACGCGTATTTAGTGTGGCAGTAGGTATTTGTACCTTCCGCGGGATGGACGGACAGGACTGTCCAGCCAGGAGGATGTAGAGAGAGTCACGTTGGTGTGCTCAGGAATGAATTATGAGTTGGATCAGTGGTGGTTTTCACAAGGGACCAGTTTCCTGAGATGGAGGACAGGAGCATTGACTAGAGGGAGGCATGATCCATGGAGAGACCATAAGGCAGGAGCCACTTTCAGGTGGCCTCAGTACTGCTGTGTGAGATGGACGGCAGGGAGTTTTATCGACATTCTTGCTAACAGATTATGGGTCCACCCATAGTTCTGCTGCCTTGCAGCTAATCTGCGTAAGCGAAGTCGAATATATAACCGCCTCCCCATGCTGCAGCCGAGTCGAAGATGACTTCTCATGGCTGTCCACCTGTACGGCCTCCCATTGCTGCTGTCTCCATTCCCACAACTCTGGCCATGTACCTCCTTTCAGTCCTCCTCACACTGGCTGAGTGTGTTCAATGTTTTGCCATAGGCAGTAGCTGGCAGATTACGGAGCCTCCTATAGCTGCTGCGCAGACCCTAGCCGTAATCTCCGATGGGCCCCTATAATACCCCCGCCTCCTCATGAGCATCGTGACCTTTGTATGTCCATGAATCAGGCGAGGATCTAGTCATAGGGTGCCCTGTAACGGCCTCCCACATTGCTGCTGTCACCATCGCCACACTCTGCCATGTGCCCACTTTCAGAGGTCTCCTCACCACTGGCTGGTGTTGTTCCGATTTATGTTGTGTCCATTGGGAGCTGGCAGATTACGGGGCTCCTATAAAGTGCTGCCAGCCCCTAACTGACAAGGCCCCCTTACCTCCTCCTCATGTGTGCAGTACAGAGTTTCATGGGTCCTGACCGGCTTCATTGGTGCTTTCTCTTCGCACATCAGCATGTTGCCACTTTCAGGTCTCCCTCACACGCTGGTGTGTATCCAATTTTTATGTCATAGGGTGATGGCAAGGATTAGGTCCTTCCTAAAGTGATGCTCCGGGCCACCTACAATCTGCCCAAGGGGCCCCTATACCCGCCTCCTCATGCGCGCCAAGTCCCGAGTCTGTCATGGTCCCCTGTACGGCCTCCCATTTCTGCTGTCTCCATCGCCACACTCGCTGCATGTGCCACTTTCAGGTCTCTTCACACCTTCTTGGAGTTTAAATTTTTTTTGACCATAGGGTGCAGGCAGATTCGGGCCTCACAGATAGCTGCTGCCAAGGCCCCCTAATCTGCCATGGCCCCTATATACCGCCTCCTCATGCTGCTGCCAAGTCG